AACAACTTTTATCATTTAGTTAAGAATAACAAGTTAGGAATAACAATTGAATTCTGCATAATCAATCCTCTAATAGTTCCTTACTCAATTTCAAATACATATTTTAATTATTCTTATAAGGACAATGAATTGTTCTAAATATAAAACCACATGAATGTTCTCTTTAACTCTCATTCATCTAAAAATTAAATTGATACTATAGTATGTGCTACAAAATTTACTAACATGACACTTATTAACTTCATTCGTAATGTTCTATAATAGGAAAATTCCGTTTGTATGTGAAAGTGAAAAGATAATTTAAGCATTATTCTTACAAATTTTACATGTACGTACCATCTTGTTCTCATCTTTCCCTCTTCATCTCAATTAAATTGAAACTCTTTTGATATATAGAGAATGAATATACGAAAATTAATCTGTATATTGGATGATTTCGCATATGAGACGCTGTGCGATTGTGTATCTATCTACATATAAGATAATTTATTATTTTAAGATTAGTTCTTTAGCACCATAGCTGCAAACTGAGCATGTTGTGTGATGGAATGTCTTTTAAGCAAGCAAATAAAGAAAAAAAAGCGTGCATAATATGATCTTGACTTTTTATATTGTTTCTAAATTGTAATCTTAAATCTAATACTTATATAAGTTTTTCTCATGAGAAACTACAATGAATCAAAATAAATAAGTAATTCTAAAATATTCTTTAGAAATAGCAATGACAAGCTATATGCAAATAGTAAAAATCTATATGTAACTAGGTTTGTGTAGTTCAGTTTCATTGTGTATATAAAGTGGAAGACACTTAATGTTAACAACAATTCGCGTAAAAAAAGAATTAATGTTGTTATTGCTGTTGAAAGAATATATGTACATACATAGAGTTGATAAGAAATGAAACGAAGGCGTGGTGCGTTCTACAAAACAAACTACAATAATTATACAGTGATATTAAAAATTCATTCATCAAGAAAATTATCTAACAATTTCGTGTATTGTATGTAAATTATTTGTCACACATTTTTTCTTCCGTGTAAAGTGCTGTGTTAATTTATTTAAAATTATAATTAATCTATTTTTTTTCGGTTTAATATATTGGCAATGGAATTTAAGATTCTTAGCATTTGTTTTTTATATTTGTTATAAATACATATTTAATGCCAACTTATGAGAGATTTCCCATAAATCAAGTGTTTAGAAAAAAGAAAAGAATAAAATCTTTGTCGATTAACAAAAAATCTTTCCTGCTTTATACTGTATTATTGCTTTTGGTCTTTCATGACATCAAATTACTATGCATTCTTTACTATTCTTTCTAGAACGCCTGGAGTATTTATAAACAAAAGTTTGTTTGTATTTTTCGGCAAAATAAGGAAAATGCAGGACTTTTGAAGATCGTTATCGCTGACGTTCAAAATACACCCGCTACTCCTCAGCTTCAGTTAAGAAGCATATTCAGTAATGGAATACGCATATAAAATTTTTTATTGCTGATCAGAAGTCTGGGCAACGCATATTAGTACCATGAAGTGAGTGTTGTATTAAAAGTTGTGATTCTTCTTAAATTTACAATTTTGCAAATGTTTTTGGAGTAAATCTCTTAAAATTTAGTCTCTTTACCCCAGTTCGAAATAGGGTGTTCCACTTGGCAATTATAAAGTGAAAGCTTTAGATTCATAAGTCACTAAGTTTAACTATTCGGGTGACTGTATAGCAATGATCGCAATTACGTGGCACGTGTGCCAAGATTGGTACGCTTCGAAACTTTGCTGGCACGCGTGGTAAGTTGATATTGAAGAATATATCTGATATTTTTGTTTTTATTTTTGTTGATTGAATATATTTAAGTTTTTTTATATAAATTTATGTTTAAATATGAACAAAAATTAATATAAAAACGAATATAACTATTCTGATTTTCAATACTCTTAATTTTATGGAATAGATTCGGCATGCCGAAATATTGGTTTGAAAAAACACATCTTTTTTGGCACAATACATAAAATCTTATTGCGACCACTGTTGTATAGCATGCCGGAGTTTTTTCTATATGTTAATTTATTCTTGGAAGTTATTGATGTCAATTTCTTACTTTTATTGGTATTCAATTGTTTTTATACTAAAATTTTATTTTTAATAAGAAAATGTTAAGCTATATATGTAATGGCTAACAAAATTTTTATAATAACCTGACCAGGTTCCGTTAACAGGTCCGATGCATTGATCAGATGTCTTAAATTTTTATTACCAAAATTATTACCAGGTTTATTGAAAAACCTTAAAAATTTTATGTTTTAAAAAACCAATATGTTTCAACAAAAGTTCAAATTCAAATTTTATCTCTGTAAGGAAAATTGACTATTATGGTAGTTTGATTGATAGCAATTATATGATAGTATCTCTAAACTTTACAAATATAAAAAATTTGGCTTAAATAATATTAGTAATAAAATATTAAATATTTAATATTCTTTTATATATTCTGAAAAGAAATTGAGAAACTCCTCCTAGCAACTCCTTTATCACATAGTTCAATACTTGGAAATAAGGTAAAGTGAGGTAATTTCGTCATGTTAAGGGACTTTTTCGGTTTTTTAACGATGTATTTCGAAGAGTTAATGTGTGTGCAATAAAAGTATCATTTTTTGTTAGTTTGGAATGTTGACAAAATTATTTTTAACTTTTTTAGACAGTTACTTTGTGAATTATTATATTTTTTTAAATTTTAAAATATTTCCAAAAGTCATGTAATTTCGTCAGCAAAAACTTTGAGTTTTTAATTTCGTCATGTGGAGTTGCTAATTTCGTCATGGCAAAAAAAAACTAGGTTTTAATACAGTTCATTGGGCTAAAATAAAAAATAATGCAAATTTAAACTGTGTATATCATAATTAATAACTATACGGTAACAATTTTGAAAAAACAGCATTACAATATTTGAACAATTCAAAAACTATGTAAAATTTTAATTTCGTCAGCACCCTATTTAAGTATTACATTCCGCCGCCTCACAAAATATGATTGTAAATAAAATTTTAGTAAAAATTAGTTTTAAATTTAATAGTTTTTTTAGATATTGTACAGAACATTTATATTTGTCAAATTTAACATTTCAATTTCTGTTTTTCTCGTGTTTTTATCATTATTTGTAGAAAAACTTTGGCAATCTACATTTTTCGTTACTATTAAAATAGATTGTACCGGTAATACCTAAATAAAATATAACTGACGAAATTTTATATTTTGGCTAGAAACACTGTAAATAAAAGTTCTGCATTCAATTTTTTTTAATATTTTAAGTTTCAAAAGTAAATATTCATATTTTAAAATGTTTTAATAAACCACTCAATTTCGTCATTCTGACGAAATAATCTCCAACTCCAAAAAATTTGGTTGGTAATTTCGTCACTTAACTTTTATTTTTTAATATTTCACTTTTTCAATTTTTTTCTTATTAATAATGTTTTTTTAAGTTTAATTTGTCAAAATATAAGCAAATATGTAAGAAATTACACATATTTCAACAGATATACCCTTAAGAAACTTTCTACTTTTCTTAACGAAAACACTAAGAAAAAGCAAAAATTTGCCCCGGAATTTTTTCAGTAATTAAGAATGTCTTTTAAAATTAATTTATTCTAATTTTTTAAAATTTAAAAACGGATCTTCTCACTTCAAGTATATTTAAAAACAAAAATGTTTAAAGTTTATTGAAAATAGATGGGGTTTCCTAATATTTGACAAATATGTCAAGGAAGTGCGACCTATGACGAAATTAAATGCACTGACGAAATTACCTTACTTTACCTTAATTGTTTGAAATACCTGGAAAATATTTTTAATTTAATTTCAATTTCTTAGCGAAATTTCATGAAAAAATTTAAATAAAAATTTTATAGAAATTTAATAAAGTAATAATTAAGGAAATAAATTATTTTCTGAGCTTTTATAATTATAGACAAACTCATTAGCTCTTAATTATCAATTGTAATGAGTAGAATATAGAAAAAAAAAAGCAGTAATGAACTCATAAAAGATTATTTTAGGGACCTTAAAAATTTATTAAGCGTTTCTTAATTTAAAATTTAATTAAGTAAGTGAAAAATGTAATTTATTAAAAAATACAATAATGTGTAGAAAGGCACAATTGTATAACAATAAAATTCCATAATATTAATACCCTTAAATCAATTCCATGATAATTAGGAGAATTCTATAGTATAACTGTCGAAATTGAGGCTCCGGAATTAAAGCGAATTTTGTGTGTAAAACAGAAATTTCCAATTTTTTTTCTTATTTAAATCTCACAACATTTAAGCATGCTCTTTGCTTAAAATATTTAAAACTCAACAATTTTCGTATTCAATTTTAACGAAAATTTTTTTTTTATTACATTTTCCTCTACTTCCTCCATAGAACCCAACCATAAATCTTTAAAAATAATATAAAAAAGTCTAAATCTAATTTTTATTACATTAAAAATAAAGTGTGATTTATTTTATGATTTTGTCTTACAGATAATTCCGCTTTTCCAAACATTAAATTTCTTTTTTTTTTTTTTTTGAAAAAAAAAAAATCCATAACATTATTATATCAAAAAATTATCTTGCATATTTTTTTGCACAATTTTAAAGAATTTCAGTTGGTTTTTGTTGTAAAATAACAATAAAAGATTAAGTATGAAAAAGAAAATTTTGTATTATCCTTAAACCTTAATGAAGTTTACCCTACTTTGCTACATTGTGTATATGTACACACGTACAAAGTATATTTGATAAATTTTAGAACTGAAAGAGATCAAATTTTAAAAGCGATGAATATTGATCAGATACCTTGGTTTTAATTCAAGGTCCTTTTGAAAAACAAAATTGTTTACATTGATTATCATTTTGATTTTAATTTTGAGGTTGTCCTTAACAAATTCGAGCACATAGTCAATAAAAAAAAATATTTTTCAAAGTTAATGTAAGCATGAACAACTGCTAATTAAAGCAAAATTTTAATTATAATTTAAATTGTTTTTATTGTAGCAAAAACTTGGAAACGAACAGCACTCTGTACTTAAAATTTTTATATAAATTTGATGTACAATAGCAATAATATTTCAATATTTATAATTCACTAAAATTTACTCAATGTTATTTCCACTGATGTTCAATTTGTTAATATTTATTTTAATTATTTCACTGTTATTTTTAGTTCATAAAATAAAATTAATGCATAATCAATTAATAAAATTAACGACCATAACCACATCCGTGTCCACAGCCGCCACCACCTCGTGGTTTGTGTCCAAAACCACCTCCTTTTCCAAGGCCTCCACCACCACCACCACCACCAAATCCACCTCCTCCTCCGAAACCTCCACCTTTTCCAAAACCTCCACCTCCGCCAAATCCACCACCACCGCCACCGCCGCCGCCAAAGCCTCCACCAAAACCACCGCCTCCACCAAATCCACCTCCAAAACCTCCACCTAATTTAATTTTAAAATAAATTAAAGTGTTTCTGCGTGTGCTTAATTGAAATGAAATTTAATAGAAACTTTGTAATACCTAAACCTCCTCCACCATGTCCACCATGTCCACCAAATTTACCACCACCGCATCTATTCCCACAACCTCCTCCTTTTTGAAAAATAGGAGTCGCTTGTGTCAAAAATGTATTTAATGTTATAATTAAAGCCAAAGTGATCAGCGTAAAAAATAATGACCTCATGTTTTTATATTGTTTTAAAATGCAAAAATATTTATTGAATTCAAAATTTGCAACTTCTATGCTCGACTATTTTTTAATAACTACTAAATTATGATAGATTTCAACTGATTTTTAAATAAAATTTTTATAACAAAGTATTCAACAGGTTCTTAATAATTATCTACGAGTGTAAAAATTCATGTAATTAAAATATGGGTGGGAAATTAAGTACGATTACAAAAATTACATTCTATTGTATTTCCGTACATTAAAATCAATTTTGTTCTTAAATTAATATTAAAGATGATTCAATAAAAATTTATTATGATTAAAAAAATAAATTAAAATGGTGAAGAACCGATCATATTTCCTATAAAAATTACAATAAATGGCTTGTAATGCATAGATGCACATAAACGTTTAATCGATCTTTAAAGCTTGTAATAAGCTTAAAATAATATTCAAAAGTATTTCAATTGGCACCTAATCAATCAAAATTTTGCAGTTTATTATACGAGTTCATTATAAAGTCATTAATGCATTCTAAGTATAGAAAAATTAGTTGATTTTTCTACCGAAGAAAAGTATGTCGATTTGTTAAATCCGGGTTTCTTGAATTTATTTATTTTTAATGAAACCACAACAAAGGATCCGCTACAACAATATGAAGTTTCCTGTAACTAAATTACCATAATTTTTGAAAAATTTTTTTTATTTTTTTATAGTCCCCTATTTTGTGTTTGAGAACATTGAAGAGCAAAATTTAATTATCGATGTTTAGATCTCAAACTCACATCCAAATTGTTACATTTTATTCATGATTCAATTGCAGTCTTTATTTTACTCACGAAAATAACCAAAAAGATTACAATTTAAATTTTATTTAAAATTTTCGACACACTTTCATTAGAGTTTACGGATTTTTTTAACAAAAATTTGAAATGCAAAAAAAAATTAAGACCGTACGCTCGGGCGCCATCGACGTAAATTTCATTTAATTTTTGTTTATTTTATGAAATCAAGTAATTTCGGGTAACTAATACTGTTATGACACTTTATACTTACTACAATTGCTGGGAACTAAATTAAAGAAACATTGTGCTTATTAGGATTTGTTCTCTATAAATTTGTATCTTAAGCTATGCATGTGTAATGTTTAAATTTTTAATTTTAAAATAACATTTTATTAGTATAATTGCAGGTTCTGTTAAGTACACTCCGTATTTATATTTATAAATCAAAGAAAATATTACCAAACATCGGTTTAGATCTACAATTTATAAGTGTTAAAATTTTTTCCATAACAAAGATGAAGTTTCCAAATAAAAATTGAGGATATAAAATAAGTAAAGGAAAGAAATCAAATATGCCGAACATCATTGAAAATTAAAATTATTCTTGTTTTGTTCTTTTGAAGCTATAAATAATTTTTACATATTTTTTATTACACCTTAACATCAGTGCTATACGATATAAGAAGAAAGTTGAACTTTTATCAAAATTAAATTTAGAAATATAAATTTGGCATAATAAAATTCATTTCTATAATTTTTCTAGGATCTCTTTTTTTTTTCTTCACAAAAAAAAGATATGAAAGAAGAGGTTGTTGTGCTTTAACAGCGCCTAAAAATAATGTCACTTCATTTCGTCCTTCTATTTTTCTTCATATTGCTTTGCTTTTTTCCTTTGATTGCGTGTTTTATTAAATTAAATTACTTATGATATTGATCCCATATATTGAGTATGAGGAAGCTGGAGGTACACAAGCATCACATATTTTTTATATTCACAATATTGTAACAATTGAAATACATATTTTACTTACAAATTTATCTTTGTAATCTGTACGTAATAAAAAATTTTTTATATTTTTACACATATTTTACCCGCCTGATACTTGATTCATCAATGTGTATAAAAAATGACTTCGGGATAAAAAAAATTACGATAAAAATAATTTTATATTTTCAAAAAAAAAAAATTGGATTATTCTCGTCATAGAACAGAAAACCTTTCAATTTTGGGGAACCTGTCCAATTAAAGCCCTCCTAAGTGCGTAAATATTTTACAATAAGTCATAAAGTTTAAGTATTCTAATTTCTGAAGCAATAAATTTGAGAAACTTTTATATTATTATAAATAAACATAGAACGGGGTTCAAAAAAGCTTCTGCATCGAAGCTGGAAATTTTGTATTAAGAATACTGTTTAAAGTTTTTAAGTAACAAACTAATAAGTAACAAACACAGTAAGGCAGCAATATGATAAGAATTTGTTATTTTCCTTGCAATTTTACCTTTATATTAAAATACATTATGAATTTACTCTTATAAACATGTCTGTACGAAACAATCATTGTGAGTATTACAGTTTATAGTAAAGCAACAGTTAAAAATTTCCTTGTCATTTTATTTTTATAGTTTAATGAATAAAATATTACGTAAATTTCTTCCATAAAAACGTTTGCCATAAAATATTACTTTAGCCATAAATTTTTTTGTTCAAAAAATTTTCCTTTTGAGCAATTGAACACTGAACCCTGATAACTAACCTTTTATTTTTTTGTTTTCATTTTATTTTTTATAATTTCTAAGGAAAATAAATTTCAAAAATTTTTCTATCAAAATTTTTTCTTAACTCTCATAATTTTTGAAATATTTTTACTATTTAGTTTTTATCATAAATTCAAGATTTCTTTAGAGAATCAACAAATGAGAATTAAAATTATAATTTATCACTAAACCATTGGGGGATTTAGCAAAGTTTATTTACTTTAAAAAAATATTTAAATTAAAAATGCAATTTTAATAAAATTATGCAAGGTAATTTTATTTTGTGAGAAGTACATGAGTGCTTAGCTAACAAATTATTGCAATTGAAATTTGTGTTCTGGTACTATCCAATTATGAAATATAAAAATATTCTTATCTGTTATATTTTTCATCTCAATTAAGTAACTTATGATTAGATTATGAAATAGAATTAGAAATATTCAAGAAGTCGTAGATTTTCGTGTGTGAGCCGGATCGAGAAATTCTAAAGTGATTGTGTTAGCTTTCTCTCTCTTTAAGTGATATTCTGAATTCAATCAGAATAGTAACGGCCAAAACGAAAAATTCAGAGAAAGCCAAGAAAAATTGATATGAAAAAATATTAACTTCAAACGGTTTAGGTCTGCCTTGTTTCCTTACATGTCTTAACAACTTTTGCCTGCCATTGAAATTTCGTAAGACATTTAAGTTTTCAGTATTTAGTTTCAATCTTACTGATGTTAACATCAAAGACTTTATGAATATTTACAGAAATAATAGCAAACTCACATTCATATATACCATCTGTAAAATTCTTGCCTTTAAAGTTTTATTAATTATTTTGAAAAATGTGGCAAACGAGTGTTCTTTTGAAATTTTATAAAATATTACTTTAAAAATTTTTAAAAATTAACTTTAAAATTAAAATTTTTCAAAAATAAAATGCTTATGTAAATTGGTAAGTGTGGTTCTTTGTAAATACCGTAACTTTAAAGTTATGCCTAGGAAAAACAATTTTTTTAAAAAAAAATTTTAATTTTCCCTAAAATACTAATATACTAAATTTTTCTATTTCAAAAAAAAAAAATAACACGAGTTTACCTCATTCTGCACCACATTTACCATATTAATATTTTAAATTACATATTTTTAATAAAATTGCTCTACTAAGGCAAAATATTGTTAACCATTTTTATTCCTAAATTCCTTCAATCAATATGGTATACGTGTACACAAATTCACTTGAACTTTAATCAAAAACCATTATACAAGCAACAACGAATAGTGTTATACAAGAGTGTGTAATCATATCACTTATTTTATAATATGTGTATAGGTTTGTTATTTATTATGTTATTTATTTTAATACAACTAATGAAAGTTACCCAAATTAATATGGGATCGAATATTAAATGAACGATACCTAAAGGAAATAAATAAAATTTTCTTTTATATTATATAAGTATAATAAAATATTCAAATGCTCTAAGGATAATAAAAATATCGAAATGGAGAAAAAATTATATTTTTTCAAAATATTCTTATTATAGTGTGTCAAATTAAATTAAATATCTTCTCGTGTAAATTAATGATAAACTTGTATAACAGTTATAGACAACCAGACAGAAAAATGAATTCATTTTCATATTGATGGACGTAAGGCGAAAAATATTTCTATATTTCAACGTCAACTTGAAGAAAAATCAAAAAATAGAAGTTGAAATATTTAAAGAAAATTAAGGATAAGGAGCGTTTGATACGCTTTATAAGCTGAAAATGTGAACATGAAATAAAAATAAAATATTTTCAACTAATATAACATTAATTATTATGATGTTTTCAATCAGAATAACTTCTATTCAATTTACTCTCAAGTTAATTCTAAAAATATTCATATAATAAAATTAAAGTTATTTCAGGTTTCCAATTTTAAAAGTTGTTTGTTTCAGAAAGAAAATTCATAATGGAATGAACAACTCTGCTCTGTGTTGCAATTGATTATTTGTTATGATTTCTCTTATCAAATCTCAGCTATTTATACCTACACTTATAAAAAAATTTGGAAAAATATCGAACTCTGTCGGAGAAGGGTAAATAAATTACAAAGTTGGACGCAAATATGAGAATGTAATAAATTTATGTCAAGCTTCCTTATTATTGTTCAAAATTAGCATTCAGCAATCCTTAATTCCTACGAAGTATTAACAAAAAAATCGATTTTGTCGCCCTTTGGGCTTTTGAAATTATCAGTTTGTACCATAACCTCCATTCTTAAAAATTATCTTTGATTTAAGATGTATTTCGAGATATTGTACGAATGATAATGGAAGAAAAATTATAAGAACTTGCATTTAAATAAAAAAATATTATAAGCACTCAAAATCGCGTGATTACTCGAATTTTTTCTCACAAAATTAAAAGAAAACGAGAAAAAACGTATATAATTGCATTTTTTAACACAACAACCCAAGATTAAAACTTTAACTTGTTGTAGTCTTTATTCTTAATTTTAAATTTGCAAAATTATTCTGAAATCACAAGCCGATTGTAATAAATTCTTACAAGTTACAAGATCACATCAGATAAT